TGGGTGGGTGTGGGTGGGTGTGGGTGGTTGTGTGTGCGTGTGTGTGTGTGTGTGTGAATGTGGGTGGGTGGGTGGGTGGGTGGGTGTGCGTGTGTGCGTGTCTGCGTGTCTGCGTGTTTGGTGCGTGTCTGCGTGTGTGCGTGTCTGCGTGTCTGCGTGTGTGCGTGTCTGCGTGTGTGCTGCGTGTGTGCTGCGTGTGTGCTGCGTGTGTGCTGCGTGTGTGCTGCGTGTGTGCTGCGTGTGTGCTGCGTGTGTGCTGCGTGTGTGCGCGTGCGCGTGCGCGTGTGCGTGTGCGTCCGCGTGTGCGTGTGCGTGCGCGTGCGCGTTCGCATGCGTGTGCGCATGCGCGCGCGTGCGCGTTCGCGTGCGCGTGTGCGTGTGCGTGCGCGTGCGCGTGTGCGTGTGCGTGTGCGCGTGTCCGCGTGTGGCGCGCGTGCGCGCGTGCGCGTCTGCGCGTCTGCGCGTCTCCGCGTCTGCGCGTCTGCGCGTCTCCGCGTCTGCGCGTCTGCGCGTCTGCGCGTCTGCGCGTCTGCGCGTCTGCGCGTCTGCGCGTGTGCGCGTCTGCGCGTCTGCGCGTCTGCGCGTCTGCCGTCTGCGCGTCTGCGCGTCTGCGCGTGTGCGCGTGTGCGCGTCTGCGCGTTTGCGCGTGTGCGCGTCTGCGCGGCTGCGCGTCTGCGCGGGAGAGCGCGTGCGCGCGTGCGCGTGCGCGTGCGCGTGTGCGTGTGCGTGCGCGTGTGCGTGTGCGTGTGCGTGTGCACGTGCGCGTGCGCGTGCGTGTGCGTGTGCGTGTGCGTGTGCGCGTGCGTGTGCGCATGTATGTGCGTATGCGTGTGCGTGTGCTTGTGCGTGTGCGTGTGCGTGTGTGCGTGTGCGCGTGCGTGTGCGTGTGCGTGTGCGCGTGCGCGTGCAGATGCGTGCGCGCGTGCGCGGGCGCGGGCGCGGGCGCGTGCGCGTGCGCGTGCGCGTGCGCATGTCTGTGCGTGTGCGCGTGTGCGTGCGCGTGCGCGTGCGTGTGCGTGTGCGTGTGCGTGTGCGTGTAGGTGTGCGCGTGCGTGCGCGTGTGCGTACGCCTGCGCGTGTGCGTGCGCGTGCGCGTGTACGTGCGCGTGCGCAAGTGCGTGTGCGTGTGCGCGTGCGCGTGCGCGCGTGCGCGCGTGCGCGCCCGTGCGCGCCCGTGCGCGCCCGCGCGCTTGTGCGCGTGTGCGCGTGTGCGCTTCCGCGGGTGCGCGTGTGCGCGTGTGCGTGTGTGTGTGTGTGTGTGCGCGTGTATGCGTGTGTGCGGGTGTGCATGTGTGCGTGTGTGCGTGTGTGCGTGTGTGCGTGTGTGCGTGTGTGCGTGTGTGCGTGTGTGCGTGTGTGCGTGTGTGCGCATGTGCGCGCGCGTGCGCGTGCTCCTGCGCCTGCGATTGCGCGTGCTCGTCCGTGTGCTCGTGCGTGTGCGTGCGCGTGTGCGTGTGCCTGTGCGTGTGCGTTCGCGTTTGCGTGTGCGTGTGCGTTTGCGTGTGCGTGCGTGTGCTTGTGCGTGTGCGTTCGCGTGCGCGTGTGCGTGCGCGTGCGCGTGCGCGTGCGCGTGCGCGTGCGCGTGCACGTGCGCTCGCGCGTGCGTGCGTGTGTGCGTGCGTGTGTGTGTGTGCCGTTTTTTTCTTTGACCGCTTCTGGGGCTGCTGCTGCCTCTTCTCGTCGGGGGCTGCTCGACGCCGCGCTCCGTGACGCGAGCCCCGGGAAGAGTCTGAAGCGGCCATGGCTTGAGCGTCCTGTCGCACCATGCAGGCGCACTTGTGCATCGCGCTGGCGCGCCACCCCACACCTCATATGTACACGCGGGCACACCCACGAAATGCTTGCGCACCAGGTCAGCATGGAAGGTGCTACGTGGGATCTCCAGCCTCCCCAGCGTCTCATGAAGGCGCAGGGGTACGGATGCCTTTTGAACAGAGCGCAGTTGCTTCGAGACGGAGGCATGCCAGCATGTGTGTTTCCACCCCACTCCGTGGATATGGCGGTTCATTTCATGCTGAGAAGTATATCTAGTTGCCTGCGACAAATCAGCCACTGCGCCAGCGAAGCACTTTGTGTGGTGACCCTTCGACCACCGCCGGAGAGGCCGTCACATGTGACACATGTCGTCTCGACTTCTTGAGGAGCTCTCATAAGGCTGATTCGGGCCGTCCTGGAGCTGCCTTGGGCACCTGTACAGCAGGCGTGCGGGTTCCTAGAGGCCCAGTTGGGCCGTCTTGGGGCCTTCTTGCCGTCTGGAGGGTCTATTCGGTCCGTCTTGAGCAGTCCGGGGGCCCTCTCAGACCGTCTTGGGTCTTGGACCAGCTTGGGGCTTTCTTGGAGCCGTCAGGGGCCGTCTAGGGGCCCGCTTTGGACTCTCGAGGACCGCATGTGTACAGACCTTCAACCGAAGATCGCACAGAACGACAAGCACTGACAAGGCCTGCTGGGGAGCGTTGTGGGGGTGTCTTGAGGCCTCTTGAAGGCCTCTTGGGGTGTACAGTCAATCCGCGTCAACCCGCATACAGCAAGGATAGGCAGCCTTCCCAAGGGTACCTTGCATCCTTGCCCCTTCGGCCCGTCCTGAGCGACTCTTGCTGGCCAGCCTCGTTCGAAAAACGCTGACGTGGCCCTCTAAGGCCCTTGCATCCACACCGCGCATCCTTATGTTACGGGTTGGTTGTGCGCGGAAGCGTCTCGAGGGCCCTTCGGCGCGTCTTCGGGCAAAATGTGTGGCCATCTTCGCAGCCTCGTGGTGGCCGTGCGAGGCCCTCCGAGGCCTCTGAGAAGGCTTTGGGAAGCGCCGCGGGAGGCGTCGGGGCGCCCAGGAGGCCTTGCCAAAGGGGAGGCTGGTTCACGCGGCTGGAGGAGGAGGAGGAGGAAAAAGAGGAGGAGGAAAAAGAGGATGAGGAAAAAGAGGAGGAGGAGGAGGAAGAGGAGGGAGGAAGGAGGATGGAGGAGGAGGAGGAGGAGGAGGAGGAGGAGGACGAGGAGGAGGAGGAGGATGGAGGAGGATGGAGGAGGAGGGGGGGAGGGTGGAGGTGGAGGACGGAGGAGGAGGATGCAGCCATCCTCTTCCGCAGGCCGACGAGAGCAGCAGGCCCTGGGGGCTCGGCGGGGGGGCTTTCGAAGATTTTGCTCGACGTGCCAGGGGGCACGCACGGTGGCGGGTACAGGGGCCCAGTATACAGCGCGCGCACACACACACTTTACCCACACACACACACATTTTACACACACACACACACGTTGCTGTAAGCGCGGTGGTGAATGTCAGGTCAAGGGACATCTTACGATTGTAATGTTGGTTTGGGGACGTGCCCCTGATCTTCCGACCGCAAGGTTCCAAACATCCGCATGGACTGTACACAGCGATTGTTTTTTGAAGCGTTATTATCATCACATTTTTGGTATTCGCGCTTGTCTTCGCCCGCGGCCATTGTATGCTCAAGATGGCGTGTTTGAGCGCACTCAGTTTGAGGCATGCTAAGGAGAAGGTCAAGTGCATGCTTTCCAGTGGTATCACAACAGATCTGAACGGCTGCGCCCTGTGCCTGTCACACTCCGAGACTGCGGCGCTGTACACACTAGAATTCGCGCGCAGGTTGCCCTCCTTGATCTGAGATCTGGTGGGCTAACTCACGTTCTGTGTACATGTTTTAAGATTGCGTGCTGGATGTACTTCGCATCTTAAACTTTGTCTGCGGTGCACTCTGGCTCCGGGACGCTGGCTGGCGGCGCACGCTGAACACAGAGACGCCAAGAGGCGCGGACGAGCCACATCAACACACGTAATGTCTTACACCATGCTTTTCTTGTGCACTCGTGCCCACTGGTCGCGTTGGATCATCATTTTCAGGAGCACGCGCGCGGCGCTGCCCCCCAATGCGCGCTCTTCTTATTTGGGGGATTCGCCGCGGCCTCCTGCTCGTTGCGCTGCAGGAGAGCTAGTTTGCTTTGCGCTTTGCTGTTCTACCAGCCGGGAAGGATGTTGGACAGCCGATGCCGAGGGTCGTTCGGGACGTCAGGAGGAGGACCAGTGAAGATCCTGCTCGCGCCGAGCCAGAAGTCAAGATTATTTCCCAGAGCGGTCGCGCAGATGGGAAGACCATCCGCAAGGTGTAATTGTCGTCGATCGTTATCTGGCGAGCCGTGCCCGCTCGAGCGCTGCGGGCCCCAGAACCTGGAGCACCCGAGCCCGCCTCCGTCGGCGTGGCCATCAGCCGCGCCGTGCCTGTGGCCGGCGCTCGGAGGCGGCCCGTGCGAGGGCCTGCGGGCGGAGCTGGCGGCCTGCGGCCTCGCGGCTCGGAATGCTTGGGCGGCCTCCCGCGCGGTCCCTCGGGTTGCGACGGTCCTCACGCGGGCGCCCGTGCCGCTTGCGCTCCCGCCGGACGGCGAGGCGGCACGCAGGCTCGAGCGTGACGTGGCGGCTTGGCGGTGGCTTGCGCCTGGAGGCGTCGGGACGGTCGTCAGTGTCTGATGGCGGCGCTGGAGCCAAGTTGCTTCGCGTAAGAGAGGTTCGGCGAATTGGGCCCGCCTGGCGATCTCTGGCATGAAGGGCTGGGGCTGGCATGGGTGACGGTCAGCAAATACGTGGTGCTTTCGCTGGTGCAGAGCAGTTCGACGCTGCAGACGTGGATCTCACCAGACTGTGGTGCGGCGCCGCGGGAGGTGGCTTGCCGCTGGGGCTCGCGGATAGCCAGGCGTACCGTTTTTTCATGGACCCGTCGCCTGCCGAGCGCGCGTCGCTGCTGGCCGAGGTCGGCGCGGCGACGGTCGCAAAGCGGCACGCGCGTGGGCTGGCGCAGCCCGCCGGCGCGGCCGCGGCTGGCAGGCTTTGGGGGGTCTTCCAACGGTGGAGCCGCTGCCTCTGCCGCCGCCGCAAGCCGCGCCAGCGCACGGCGCGCCGGCGCCGCCGCCGCAGACTGCGCCGCTGCCCCGTCGGGGTGGACGGCACGCGGGTGCCTGACGTGCCTGGCAAGAGCCGCGCGAGCGGTCTGGAGGTCGTGCTGCCCGGCGCTGGACTTCGGAGGCTGCGCGGTTGTGACGGCGGACGGCGAGTTCTGCAGGGTGGCCCGAATCGAGGTGTATCCCGACATCGACCGCTGGGCGCGGACGTTTGGCAACGTCCTAGCCTCACGCGAGCGCCGGTTTGTCGAGTCATGGGTCAGCCACGGCTCACGCTCGGCCCGCGAGCACCGCGTGATCTCGAAGGGTCTCGAGTTGGCCATGGGCATCGACGGGCCCAGCATGGTCAACTCCAGTTCGGTGGAGTATCTGAACCGCTGACGGCAGGTGTTGCGGGAGCCCTGCGTCACGGACCCCGAGAAGGTGGGCTTCGAGGGGGCCCACCCCCACACGGGGGAGAACGAAGTCGGCTCTGGCGTGCCAGCGGCCCCGCCCCTGCGCGCCCACGCGGCGACGGAGATCTTCCACGGGCCCGCGACCGACAAGGAGCGCCGACAGGCGAAGACGGCGAAGGCCGAGGCTGGCTCCAAGGAGGGCAAGGACAAGGACTAACGCGCACGGGCCGAGGCGGCGAGGCGCGCGTCCCACCTGGCGCAGCCGCTTCGTACATGCCAAGTCGCCAGGCGCTGCTGGCTGGCCCGATGCCCCACCGCACTTTGGGGGGCGATGCTATGCGGCGCCAACCTGGACGCAGGGACGAACTCCCCCCCTCGCCACTCATCGGGGCAGATGCACTTCTGAAAGGCGGCGACGGCCAGGCCAGACCTGGGCAGCGCCGCAGGTGCTTCCGCCAGACTGCCGCGACGGACGACAATATTGGGTCAGGACCTCGAACGCGTCAACGGCTGCGAGCGCGAGCACGAGGGCGTGGTGACCCTGGCGCGGGATGCCACGCAGCGGAGAGTTCTCCGTGCGTCGCAGCAAGCTCGGCACGATTTTGGACCCCGGCTCGTCGAGCCGACCCGTGAAGCTGCTTGTCGGTTTCTGGGCAACATCTCCGACTACGCTGGCGCTGTTTGTCTTGTGCGACATTACGATCCAGCTGTTCTCTTTCTGCCTCCTGCAGGGCGGTCGTCGGTGCCGATGGTCGCGGTCTGGGGCAGTGAAGCCGCGAGGTTCCTGGTTGACTATGGCACGTCCCTGAGGGCGGGCGGACCACGACGTTCATGTGCAACGTCAGGCCGACGGCCCGGGGCGGCTTCATTTCGACGCCGTGCTGCGGTCCGACTGGGCCGCCCACGTGGACTCACTTGAGGCGCCCAGCGGAGGTCGGCACCCTGGCGCCGCTGACGTCGGCGCCCGAGAACGCGACCCCCTTTTCTTCGTCGGCGAGAAGAACGGGGACCTGCAGATGGCGCTGGACTACCGGCTGGCGAACATGCGTTTGTTGCCAGATCCTTATACCGAGATCGCGGCGGTCGAGCCCCTGGCCCACTTGGAGGTGCCCGCCCAGTCCAAAGAGCAGCTGGACATCGCGAGCGCGGACGTGGAATGCTGCTTCTACCAGTGCGGAGGCCTGGGCGACCTCCGCCAGTTCTTCGGCTTGCCCAAGATCACAGGGCAGGAGGCGGCCGCCCTGGGCTGTCCCCACTTCGCGGACGGTTCCAACACCGCGAAGTCGCCCATGGTCTCCCCCGCGCCCGCGGTTGGTTCGCTCAGCGCATGCACCTGGAGATGGCGAGACGCGACGAGCCGGCGCGCCGCCGACCCGCACTGCCGCGGGCAACTGGCCGACGCCTCTGCTCGAGGACGGGGCTGTCGACCTGCCAAATCCGACAACATCAACATCTTCGGCAGCATCGAGGTCGGCAGGGCGCCGGGCGCGGTCGTGAGCCAGTTCGAGACGGCGGGCTTCAAGGTCCACGATATCTCGGATGTCTCCACGGCCGCGACGGCGTCGGGCTCTGACATGGGCGGCTGTCCCGCCCGCGCTCAGCGCGCCGGAGCCAAGCTGGCTTCGCTGCGCCAGACGCTGATGTGGCTGGCCGAGGGCCCTGTGGCGAGTGGGCGGCAGGTCGAGGTCATCGCGGGGCACTTCGTCGCGGCCCGCACTCTGCGTCGCCCCGCTCTCGCCGCCCTGCGGGCAATCTGCGATTCCGTCAAGGACAGGCACGACCGGCCGTGCCGTCTGTGGCCTTCGCGCCGCTACGCGTGCTTGGTCATGGGGGGCGTAGCCGCGCCAATGGGCACCGACCGCTCGCGCCCGCGGTCCGACGTCGTCGTGGCCGCGGATGCCTCGACCTCCGGCATCGGGGCGGTGGTGGCTCGCGGCAAGGTATCAGACGTCGCCGCAGTTGGGCGCTGGCGAGAGCGGCGAGCGGCGGCGCTTCCGCAGACTCGATCCGGCCGAGCGGGCGCCACGTCGACACGCTCTGAATGGCCTCGACGAATCCGCTTGCCCTCGCACTGCCCGGGAGGATCCGTCTCAAGCGTCCGATGGGGGGTGGAGGATGGACTCGGCTTTTCCAGGGGTCGGGTGAGTAGTTGCGACTCGAGTTTCGCGCCGTCGACGCGGGGTCATCTCGCTCGAAGAAATCGATCGGGGTCAATGGAAGGAGGGCGGGCCTACCCGTGGGCCCTGAGGAGGGGCGCCAAGGGCGCCTCGAAACGCAGCCCTTCCGCCTCTAGTTCGTCGACAATTTCGGGGCAAGCTGTTCGATCGAGCGCGGTCGCGCTGCCTCTCGCGGCCCCCCGCAGATCTGTCGTCGATCCGCAGCATTGCAACAGGCTTCAGACATTGGGGCGAGGCCCCGCTGGATCCCCTTGGAGGTCAACGCAGCCGACGCCTCTTCGAGGCTCCTCGAGCCCACGTTCCGAATCCGTTTGCAGCTCCAAGAAGGGGCCCCTGAGCGCGGCCGGCAGCCAAATCGAAGGCGCCACCGGCCGACGCCGACGGCCGCGAGAGCGCGGCTGACGCCACGGGCCGCGCCGACGGCCGCGACAATGCGGCGCCGGCCCGCGGGCGCCCATCGGCCGAGGCCAATGGCCCGGGCCGCTGCGCCCGCGCCGACGGCGCGGCGCCAGCCAGCTCCCCTGCGCGCCACGCGGCCGCTGCGGCGCGAGGCGCTGGACGCGCTGCGGACTTCGCCTGCCGCCCGCCCCTGCCTCTCGGAGCGCAGGGCGGCGGCCGCGAGCGCCGTCGCGACGTCCGCGCGCGCGGAGCGCTTCGACGCCGTCTTCGAGTTCTGCCCGCCGCGCCCCGAGCCCGACGACATTGCGAACTTGCGGGTCGACCTGCTAGAGGCGCTGGACACGCTGACGTAGCGCGACTGCACGAAGTACGACGGGGGGGCGACGGCGCCGCCGTCACGGGACTGGTCGCCAAGGACCATCGTCGCGCTGCGCTCTGGGTGGCCACGCAGCACTCCATGCACCTGCGGCCCAGGGTGATGAGGCAGTTCCCGGCGAAGCAGCTCACCCCGCCGCTACGCGTTGCCGGACCCATGGGGTGCCAAGAGCTGCAGCCGGCTCCAACCCGAGACGATCCTGCTCGGGCGGCTACGACGGGCCCCAGAGCTCGGATGCTCGTCGAGGCAGAGGCCCCCACGGGCCGATCGACCGGGACCCCCCGCTCATCCTGGGGGGCGACGGCGACGACGCGCCGCGGAGGCGGCGGTCCCTGCCCGAGGTGAAGACGCGCGGGCACAGGCTGCAGGACGGGTCCGCGCGCCGCTACGCCACGCCGAGAACGGCGCAACAGCTCACGGGCGCGCGGACCACGGTGACCTGCAAGCATTGCGACGCCAAGCGGGGCATCCTCGAGAGGGACACGCCGGGGGCGGCCCCACCAGCGTGCCCGACGCGGTGACCAGGGCGCAGCGGGCCGCGGGGTTCGGCAATTGGGGCGAGCGGGGGGGCCATTTGCACGCGCCGAAGTTGGCCCATTCGCCTCGGCTCGTCATCGACCTGATGGCAGGCGCCCGAGGCGTCGCACGGGCCGCCGCCCGCGCCTGCGCGGTTCGCAGTTGGGAGTTGAAGGAATCGCCTTTGCAAGACGTCGTGCGTCCAATTGCACACTCTCAGGTGCGAGCACTGGCCAAACAGGGGCCCCTGCTTCTCGCCTTCGCTGCGCTTGCGCGCACGAGTTAGTCACGGGCCAGACGGAGGCCGCGAGTTCGGACTCGCCCTGGCTGGCCAGGCCCGATCCGAGGTGCCGGACACATCTTCGGTCTTCCGGATCTCAGCCCAGAAGACGCGGGCAAGGTGTTTGTTGGCAATGCCCAGGCAGCGTGGGTTGCGCGGTTCGTTGAGGCTGGCGCCTGCGCCCAGATCCCAATCGTGCTCGAGAGTCATGTATGCGATGGGCTCATCCAAGTTTTGCAGCTGCTGGCAAATATTTTACGTTACCTTTGATCACGGTGTTTTCGGCTCTCGGTTCCGTCAACGCACGGGCCTCTTCCATGCCAACATCGATCTCTCTGGTGTTGCCGCTCGCAAATGCATTGGAAAAAAGGTGCACGTTCGTTCTCAATGCTGCCCCATGAGATTGTCGAGGGCCGTGGAGAGAATACTCCCACGGTTTGAGTTGGCCGCCGAGTACCTTTCTAGCTTATGCGCTGATGCAATTCGGCTTTCTCGATCCAAATTCAAGGGCCCACCCTAGCCCTCGCGAGCAAAGGTTCCTGGACACTGGTCCGAAATGGTCTCGGACTGCTCGCGGGCCCCCACATCGAGCCCAGGCCAGGTTGCGGTTTGCTCTGGGCAAAGACATCCATCCTCTTGATCATAAGCAGTATTTACACGACTCTGCTGCGAGGAAGGAGATGCGCGTGGCCAGGGGCGCCGAGCTGCTCACAACGTCCGCTGCCGTTTTGTTTTGTCAGCCCCCCGCCCTCCTTTCCCTCCACTCCATGCAGCCGTGATTCATCTGACCAGAGGGTCCGAAATGGTTTCGGATTGCTCGCAGACTCACACATGGAGCCCAGACCATGTTGCAATCAGGTCTGGTGCGCTTATAATCATACATGTTTACATGTATGTACATATAGGTAGAGAGAGAGAGAACGGCATGCTCAACGCGTAAATAAACATACATACGAGAGGGCGCGCCCACAGCGACCTAGCAAAAGGGGCGGGGCTTGGCTTCAGTTACCCTCCCTCCCTGTAGGCCCCCTTGTTGGAAGCCCCCCCCCTCCTTTTTCGTTCGGCGAAGCTGCCCCCCCCCCCCCCCTTTCCCCTCCCAGAAGCTACTTCCCCCCCTCCCCGTTGCTTACCCCTTGGGCGCCCTCGATGGACACTACCCCGCCCTCCCCCTTTTTTCTCTCCCAACCCGCGAAGCTACCCCCCCCACCCCCCTTTTAGCCGCCCAGATGCTGCCCCCCCCCCTTTCCAAAAGGAGAGGGGGGCTCAGCTACCCCCCCCCCCCTCTCCCTCTGAGCGCCCTTGCTGGAAGCTACGAAACTTCATCTCATCCCCCTGAAATTCTAAACTGACGCGCGACCCCGCTGGATCGCGCTTCTGACCCCGAACGCTATCACCGGCGAAGGGCGAGCGTTAGTCGAGCCCAAGGGTTGAACTCAAGCCGACGCCACTGCTGCGCCCCGTCAAAGAAACCCCTGGACCTGGTATTTGTTTGCCCGGACGGTTTGCTATTGTCCGCCGCCGAGGTACAAACCTTCTCGGAGGACGCGTGAAAATATTTGAAATTCGCGCTCCCGAAACACGACCCCTTGTAAATTACGGCAGATTCGCGCTCACATTCCTTACGATACCACCCTTGCGATCGGGAAAATCCATGGGAGCGCCTGACGACCTCTGGGGCCGCCGCGCAGGGCCCAAGGTGCTTCTCGGCGACCCAGAACGTTCCGTGGCGGCGTCCGAGACCGTCAGGGAGCGCAGGGCAGCGCCTAGGATCGCCGGCGAACCCTGGGAGCGCTTGGGAACGCCTAGGAACGCCTGGGAACGCTTGGGAGTTTTTGGGGGCGCCGGGGAACGCTTAGGAGCCCTTGATGCTCCTGGGGCCGCTTGGGAGCGCGTCGGCGCCTGGGAACGCCTTGGAGCGTCCGGGAGCGCCGGGGAGCTCCTGGGAGAGCTTGGTAGCACCGGAGAGCGCTTGGAAGCACCCGGAAGCGCCTGGGAGCGCCTGGGTGCGCCTGGGAGGATTTGGGAGCGCCTGGGAGCGCCTAGGGCATGGATGCGCCCTGCCCCGTTGGCAAACGAGAGCCCCGGCTTACCTCGGGCTCCAGAAAAGGAGGGATGGCGGCGTAGCTTGGAAGCCCACCCACGTTCCAGTACCGAAGGTTGGGGGGGGAAGTCCCCCCCCCCTGGCAAACGGGAGCCCAAGCTTACGTCGGGCGCCGGAAAAGGAGGGAGGGGGGGGTAGTTTCGAAGACCCCCCCTTTCCAGCACCACAAAGAAAGGGAGGGGGGGGGGGCTTCTGACCCCCCACCCCCCCTTTAGCAGGGAAGGGGGGGGGGTCTCGAAGCTGGGGCCCCTCTTTTTGGTTTGCCGTCGCCACGCGCGCGCTTTCAGACATACGTATGGGCATTCCCCAGCCAGCGCTTCCACTAAGAGGATCCTAGCGTATTTCGAAAACGAAGTAATGTTTCCAGGCAGATCTTGGTAGGCGACTGGGTTCCCGTGGTCTCAGTTCCGGGTTCCAAACCGATTCCGCGGGGAGGAAACGGGTTCGTTGGTTTCCCGTTTTTGGTTCCGTGCCGATTTCGGTGGGCGGCCAGTGTCCCATTTGCCCAGAATCCCAGGTCGAGGTATTCTGGCCCAGTTTCTCGAGTTGTCTACCATGGTTGTACTTTTGCGATCACGGCCAGAATAGGAGAGTTGATCTTAGAAAGTGGAGGGTACATTCCGGAGAGTATAGGGCAGAGTGGATTAGACTGAACAGGCAGTATAGATTTAAGAAAAATAGCAGATCGAATTGATATGTTTAGCAAACAGAATGGTAGCAGAAGGGAGGGGTCTGATATGTACATATCTCGATGTATGTAAGCACGTGTATATATATATATATATGTATCTCATTTGTGTATGTCTACATGTATGTGTTGCATATGATGGCCTTTGGCCAATGCCGCCACCATGCTTGGGTTGTTGGTAATGAGCATGTTGGATGCTCGTGGGGATCTCGTGAGAGGCCTTTCGGGGCCTCTTGGAGACAGTTTGGACGCCTCTTGTGAGCCGGCTTGGATCCCACTGGGGCCATTGTTGGGCCTCTTGGGGGCCTTTGGGGGGCCTCTTGGGGCCTCCTGGGCGCCTCTTGGCTCCTCCTGGGGGCCTCTTAGGGCGGAAGGCTGTAATTTTCGGTTCGTGTCCCCTCTCTTGTCCCCTTTGGGGGCCGTCTTGAGGCCCTCTTGGGCCGTCTTAGGGCCCTCTTGGGCAGTCTTGGGGCTGTTCTGGGTCGTTTTGGGGCCCTCCTGGAGACCTCTTGGGTCGTCTTGGGGCGATCTCGGGAGCCTCTAGGGCCGCTTGGGAGCGTCGGGAAGCCGAAAAGGCAAGAAAGTCAAACGCCTTCAAGAACCTGCGGACAAGTAACTAGATTGACCTCTTGGGGCCCTCTTGGGAGGCCTCTTAGAGGCCTGCTGGGGCGTCTTGGAGGCCTCTTGGGCAGTCTGGGGGTCACCTGCAGCCGCGGAGAGTGTGGCGACGAGGTGCGCTCGAAGGTCGCCCCTCCAAGCGCGCGCCCCAAAGTGCGCGCACGTCGAGCGCGCATCCCCAGGGGCATTTCAAGGACATCCCACGAGGGCTCTCCCCAGGACGGCCGCCTGCGAATTACTTGCTCTTGCGACGCGCGCCCAGGGACGACGCGGAGTCGGTTGGAAACCCCCTTTCAAATATTGACGTAAGTGCTATCTCACGCAGCCTTTACCACCGGAGTTATGCGTTTCCGCAGTCGTTCGGGCTCAAGGGCCAAGTCTTGCCGAGGCCATCCAGAAGTTCCAGGGCGTCTCGTGGCATCTCACGATGGAGTTGGACGCGCCCCTTCATACGTCAGAGTCCAGGGTACCTGGAGGAGCAACAAGTCCATGGACTTACAATGTCATGCTCGGGTTGGCTGCCACGTCCTTCTACGGCATCGGGCCTGGGCTCTACCAGTACACTGTGCTTCCGACGTTCATTTTGGTTGTGGGTGGCAACAATTTCGGCGTTGGCTTCGCAGAGGGCTTACAGGGCACTGCGAATATGATCAGTGCACTACCTGCTGGCTACCTCGCAGACAAGTTGTCCCGAAAAGCTTGCATTAGGTTGGGCTGCTGCTTGCAGCTCGTCGGAAGCGTTTGCATGTTGATTGCCATTTGTTTCGCGCACGAAGGATCTTTTCCAGCTTTTGTGATGCTCTGTGCATCCCTGTGCCTTCAAGGCGTCTGTGATGGAATCGTAAACGGCCCTTTGCAGGCACTGATGGATGATTCATGCCCTGCTGGGCGCCGCAGCGATGTCGAAACTGCAAACTCAATCGTTGGTTTGGTATCTGCATCGGTTGGGCCAATTCTAGGCCTGTTCGTCTTCATTTATCCAACTGCCTGCGGCAAGTCCCGCCCTGGTGCAAGCAAATCACCATGGGCGGTCACCTCTTGTGGGCCCCACAGGAGGCCGTAACGTGTGACTCCTTGTGCGCCCCAAGGCTCTGGAGAGCCGTGAAATTCACTGCCGTGACAAAGTGTTATGTGGATTGGGCTAACGCGATTGACGACTGGCGGAGTAAGCGGCGTGGGGGGAGTCGAAATCATTCTGCGCAAACATGCAACCTGTCCCCGTGTTCACAGAAAGAAGTCGGCGGCGTAATTTCCAGTCTTGTTTAGAGATGAAACAGCTAGTCCGCGGGATCGCGGGAGCCGCTTGTCCGCACTAGGAATGTTCAGAGGATTCGTAGCTTTCAACGTATCACACAATCAAAGAAACTTATGCCTCGGCTGTGTTCATGCTTGCTGTTACGCGGCGACGGCGACGCCAGCTACGACGGGCACGACGGCGGCGACGACGGCGACAGCAATACCGACGACGACGACGACGACGACGACGACGACGACGTCGGCGACGACCAGGACGACGACGGCGACGAAACGGACGCCGGCGACGAAACGGCACCAGCGATTACCTCGACGGGCGGAGGGGTGGACCTTGCGTGCGAAAGGGTTACAATACCACAGCCACCCGTGGCCGTTTCGCACGCGACATGTTCAAAATCAGAGCGCGACCGAACGCCGTGCAGCCCCGTTCCAAGATGGCATCCCAGGCCCATGGGTTGGATGGTCCAGTGCGTATATGTATCCAGTCCGAATTCTTCGGCGTCTGAGTGCCCTCCGCCTCCTCCCGCGCTTCGCGGCCGCCCTGTCTGTCTTGTTCCTCCCTCTTGCACACCGGCCCGGAAATTCCAAGATGGCTCAAGAATCTTGCATGGGGTCCCCGGTAGGTTCTGAACAGTTATCTAAAAAGCTCGCAAGAGAACCACCAAGAACCGAAGAGAGCCTCCAGAGCCCTCGACGGCCCACAATGTCCGTCATATGCCTGAGGCGGCAGACTAGGTCGACTGACCAGCACGGCAGACCAGCGTGGCCGGCGATTCATCATGCATTGGTTTTGGCAGGATCTTCGAATCAACCTCGAACTAAGCGTTCAGAACTAAGCGTTCTGGAGACATCTTGGAGGCAATTTCTTCGGGGGACGCTCTTGAAGGACCCCCAAGACGGCTGAAGATATATATATATATATATATATATATATATATATATAATCATGGAAAACAATGTATTGTGAAACACTTGCGTTCAGAACTAACCGTTTTGGAGGCATCTTGGAGGCAGTTGTTGGCTCTCTTCGGGGGTGTCTTGGAGGCATCTTGGAGGCCTTTCGGGGGCGTCTTACAGGAAGTTGCTGGGCCTCTTGGGGGCCTTTTGGGGGCCTTTTGGGGCCTCTGGGGTCCTCTTGGGGCATTCTGGGGGCCTTTTGGAGCACTCTGGGGGCCTCCTGGGGGCGTCTTGCAGCCGAAGGCTCGACATCTCATTGTTTCCCCCTTCAGGCACTATCTTGGGCTCGTCAAGACGGCCCTCTTGGGCTGTTTTGGGCGCCTCTTGCGCCGTCTTGGGGCATTGGGCTGCCTTGGAGCGCTCCTCGGGGCCTCTTGGGCCGTCTCGGGGCGGTCTTTGGGGCCTCTTGGGCCCTCTTGGACGCTGAGAGAGCTCAAGATGGACCAGCGTGTGTGTGTGTATATATATATATATACACACGTATATGTATAATCATCGTGGGCGCCAAACAGCGATTCTATGCAACGCGGTGCAATCAATGTAATGACATCTAGGCGGTGCAAAGCAATGCAAAGCAACGCATTCACATGCGAAGCAACGCGAAGCAACGCAACGCAATGCAACGCAACGCGGCGACGGACCGCCACCGGGGCCCAGCGGCGACGGCGGCGACAGGGGGCGACGAGCCGGCCGGACGGCCACTAGGGCCCATTAATTTTAGAACACACGTACGACCCCATACTTATTAGCATTGTGTGGGGATTATCTTCTATATGTGCTTATACATATATATATATATATATATATATATATATATATATATATATATATATACATGCGCAAACATATATATATATATATATATATACACACATGAATGTGTATATGTAGCGCCCTGGCAACCGGGGCTCCTAGTTCGAGCCAGCGCCGAAGACGCTATTTGAAGATGCTATTCCCTGCGACGACGCGTCCCTGTGAAGACGCTATTCCCGGTGAAGACGCTATTCCCAGTGAAGACGCTATTCCCAGTGAAGACGCCATCCCCGGAGAAGACGCTATTCCCGGTGAAGACGCTATTCCCTGTGAAGACGCGTTCTGGGAACACAGACAGCACTATCCTTATGAAGACGCTACTCCTTGTGATAACGGTATTCCCGGTGAAGACGCTATTCCCTGTGAAGACGCTACTCCGGGTGAAAACGCGTTTCCCGGTGAAGACGCTATTCCCAGTGAAGACGCTATTCTGGGTGAAGACGCTATTCCTGGTGAAAGACGCTATTCCTGGTGAAGTCGCTACTCCCTGTGAAGACGCTATAGCGGCGCCAAACAAGCTGGCCGTTGCGCGCGCGAGCATGCGCGGGCTAGCGCGGCCGCAGAGATGCACCAGCGAACGCCAAGCACTCATCGCAATCGCCGCCGCGTGGGTTTTGCAAACCAAGTTGCGGGTGGGCGGGCGGTTTTTGCCAGAGGATGGGATGTGCCAACTCTTTAAACAAATGAGTCGTCATGTCTTTATGGTTTCTATTTTTTATTATTTATATAGAGAGAAACCAAAAAACCTTACTCAGAGACCCCCATTTACGTTCTGCAATGTACATATGATGATTCTGCGCCATCGTCCATCCGAATTGCGATGTCATACGATCCCATCCAAACCGGCTCGTTCCCCCCCCCCGCCATCTTCTGCAAAAAACGCTATGAGCGCGCATTCGTTTATCGAATATCATACGTTACAGAAGTCCCCATGCACAAGAAAAATGACAAAGTGCATTTGCGCGCGTCGTCGCGCGCATGCCGAGGTCCTTCAAAAACTTTCAGGTGCCGGAAGGATCTCAAAGTCGAGTGCTCAAAAAACATACAAAGGCAAAGGGTTTCGAAACACGGATGTTCAAAAAAAGTTTGCGCGCGTGCGTTCGTGCAAATTATTCAGAAAAACAAACGATTTTTTAACGTATTCAGAACATGCTACCAAACGGGCGTCGCGCGCGCGCATGTCGAAATCGTTCGAACGTCCTTGCGCGCGTCTGGGGGGGGCACGATCCGTGTTAAATAATACCATGCGGGCCACTCTCGCGCGTCTGCCGCGCGCGCATTCCGAACGCCTTCCAAAACCTCCATCACCGACGTGACGACGCCGTCATCGTCGTCGCGTGATCAGCATCGGCGCCGTCACTGGCTGCCCCGTCGTCGCTGTCAACATCGCCGCCAGCATCGTTTCATTGTGTCAACCGTTGCCGACGCGGCCATGATACCGCGTCCGCCCAAGTCGACGACTCGCACTGAAGTGCCCGCTGGGATGTGCAGGGCAGCAGTCAACGCCACCGCGTCCGCGTCGGTCGCGCCAAACTAGCTGGCCGCTGCGCGCGCGAGCATGCGCGGGCTAGCGCGGCCGCAGAGATGCACCAGCCAACACTAAGCATTCATCGCAATCGCCGCCGCATGGGTTTTGCAAACCAAGTTGCGGGTGGGTGGATGGGATGTTTGCGCGAGCAGTGGAGTGGGCAACCCATTGCGAACAGAAACTAATTCTCTTTTCTAAAAGAAGAATAGACTCCACCCCTCCCCCCTTCCCCGGAGTAAACGACACCCCCCCCTCTGGGGGCATTGCGATGTCATACCAATTCTACACACTCGCCCATCTTACCTGTGTGTTCATATTTTCCCCGTCAAATCGGTACCGACCCCCCCCCCGCCATCCTGGGCTAAAAATGCGACGCGCGCGCACTTCTTCATCTTAAGAAAGCAAAGTTCACTAACCCCTTGCCACAAATACCACAGAGTCACCACGCGCGCGTCCATGTCAAAACCGTACACAACACAATGTGTTGCAAGAATTTCAGCACACAAGCAAAAACACCAAGGGCTTTGCAACAAACTGTTGCACAGTTCCTGTCCGCGCGCTCATGCTCAAATCATACAAAACTGTAGGATTATTACGAGTTCTCACAACTCCAGCGATTTCATGCCACCGCGCGGTGCACCCGCGATACTCCTGTCATGCGTCGAGGGCGCGAACCCCTTGCAAAAAACACCACGCGGGCCACATGCGCGCACCGCCGCGCGCGCATGATCAGTCTGACGGATTTGTTGAATTTCCGCGCGCGCGGATTTCCTTTTCAACTTTGCCAGCATCACCGCGATCACCCGCCTCATCGACGCATGGACATCAGTTTCGTCAACGTGTTTGCAATCATTGGCGCCGTTATCGTTCGAGCCGTCGCCCTCTTGAACATCGTCGTCTCTGGTGCCATTTTCGTCATTGTCGCAGACGTTGCCGACGTCATCTTGTCATCGCGCACGCCTGGGTACCGTCGATATACTCACCTTCATCATTGATTCACGGCGACGAGCATCGGCAGCGAGGATGTCATCATCGATGTCGTCATCGGTGGCGCCGCCGTCCCCCGCATCATGAGTTTTGCCAAACAAGTTGCTGGTGGGAGGGTGGGATGTTTGCGCGGGCAGTGGAGATGACGATTTCAAGTTCAGCAGAGCGGGTTGCACATACATTGCACATAGGTTGTATCGGATACAGTGCCGCCGTATAAAGAGCACCGCGTAGACTGCAAGAACCCATTGTTCGGGGTCCGCGGTGGCGTGTATATATATATATATATGTGTGTATATACATGTGTGTGTGATAGTTTACATGTCCTGATACATGTCTATACACATGTACATATATATATATATATATATATATATATACGTAATCGCTGCCATTGGGAAACACAACATGCGAAACATGCTTCCCATTTCCGTGACAGAAGGGTCAAACGTGACTAGCGACAGTCGGGGTGAGCAGAGTGGGAGAAATCGGCAGTACCCCGAGATGACATGCAGCCCATGTCATTTTGCATTGAGGATTCGGAGGGGTGATTTCCGATCTTAGCCTGGCAGAGCACAGCTACTATTCAGGAGGAGCCCGATTTTCCGTGGGCACTTTACGAGCCGCCTGTCCGCGCTATGACTATCGAGAGGGGCGTGAGATCCGAGTTTCAGACCATGTAGCAGAACATTGCTGTCACGGCTGCGTTGATAGTATTTCGCGTGTTGTCTGGGTATCACGTTTTGTTTTCGCCGTTGTTTTTTTGTCGTCCTCGTCTTGGGCTCCCGTATGGCAGTCGTGGCGGCGTTTTTGGGCCAAGTTGGGGCAGTCTCGGGGCCCTCTTGGGCTCTCTTGGGCCGTCTGGTGGCATTTGTTGGCCGTCTAGAGGGTCTTTCTTGCGTCCGTCTTTGGGTCGCCTTGAGTTGTCGCAGGGCGTTCAAATTTAGCGTTTTCATTCCCTCTAGCTGGCCCTCCTCGGCCAGCTTATAGAGCTTTTGTGGGACCATCCAGGGACGCCTTTGGGTCTTGAGGCCGTCTTGGGAGCTTACTGGGCCGTTTTGGGGGCCTCCTGGGCTGTCTCGGATGATTAGTGGGCCGCTTGGAGGCCATCCTGGGCTGTCTTGGGGTCATCTCGGAGGCCTCTGGGGCCGTAGGGGGCTGAGGGGATGCCGAGAAGGCCAGGACGCCCAAATCTCACCAAAACCTAGTGCGGGGTCCTCCTGTGGCCCTCTTTGGCCGTCTTGGCGGCCTGATGGGCCGTCATGAAGCCATTTGGGGCAGCGATGGGACCATCTTGGGCCGTCTGGGAGCCATCTTCGACCGCCTTGGTTGCCTTGGTTGCCTGCCTCGGCCGTCTTAGAGGCGCGGGAGCGTGGACCCATAGCTGTTATCTGGAAGCGTGGCCCCGCAAATGCGGACTGGTCGTCTTTTACGGTGGGTCGCGGCCTCTGGAGCGCGGATCAGTCGTTTTTGATTGGGAATGTGGTTTCGGGAGCCCGGATCCGTTTTGTTTGTTAGGGTGGATCGTGGGCGCGTCTGCGCGGATCCAGTGTTTTCTTACGAAGGTAGGAGGGGCGATGCATACGGTTGAGTGCAAGAAGAGGCGGGAGTCCCTTCGAACAACAGAAACCCTACCAAGTAGCAGCTGGCCTTCTAGCACTCCGCAGCGTACCAGGGGGCACGGTTGCGGATAAGGGCAATCATTGGGCATTGCATACAATGAAATATGTCATTGGTATTGGGGTTGTGTTTGGGCAGTTGTCCCTGATTCCGGCATGGCTCATGGACGACAGGAGAGCTTTGGGCGAGCAGAGCGAGGCGGTGCATCTGCAGGCGAGACTGACGGCGGGCGTTGAGAATGACAGCCAGCAGGGCGAAGCGAGGGAGCTGGTTGCGCGACAGTCCCGCGCCGCGTGCTGCGGTCTTGTGACCATGCCCCGCGTCCGAATCATCCAAGAGGCTTAGCTTTCTGCCGCCAGCCCTCCATTGATGACAGCGGAGCGGGACACGCGGACTGGATGGACCTCGGAGGGGCGTGGGGACGGACTTTGAGCGCACGTTCATCAGGCGAGCACGACGACGAGCGACGAAGGGCTTCGCTGTCTGCTGCCAGCCCCCCGCTCATGGTGGCTTGGGTGCCGTCAGGCTGGAAACGTAATTAGGTGCCTGGTGTTCCGTATCATATTCTGGATGCGTGATGGCGTCCCGTTTGGTGGGGGTGGTTGATTCGCCGCGTTGGTCGTCGTAGTCTTCGTGATCGTCGTTGTCGTCGGTCATCGTCGATAGTCATGTTTGTCGTCGCCGTCGGTTCACATCGGTGCCCGGCCGGGCGGAGCTGTTGGGAAGGTTTGTCGGTTTTCTTTGGACTATCTTACATATGGTGCAAGCAATCATATAAAACCCGTGGGATTGGTCGGGGCTATATTGGTGCAGTCTTGGGTCTTTTTGGGCCATCGTGGGGCCTATTGGGGAGCCTCTTGTGGACACGTCGTGACCAACCTCGCCCTCTCTCGGGGCTTCTTGGGCCGTGTTGGGGCATGTTGGGGTCTGAGTGTGAAATTACTTAGGCATTCTTGGAAGCATCGTGGAGCTTTAGGAGGGCCCATTGGGAGCCATCTTGTGCAATACCAAGGCGATATTAGTACCTATCGGAGGCGTCCTGGGGTTATCATGTCTCTCCGTGGGTGCAAAAAAGGCGGCACGCAAGAAACATTAAAAACAAACGTGGTGTTAATGTTCTTCCCTCGCAGGAGGCTGTCCTGGACGCCATTTGGAACTTTTTGTTGAGTTTGGTTTCGGTTTTGAGCCTGCTCGTGTCGTGCTGCGCGAGCGGACGGGGGACGACGATTGCCCGCAGCTAACGGCACCAGTCCGTAACGGCTCCTCGAAAATTGCCCCACCGATATCCAATGATTGTCCCTTGATTGTCACAGCGTGCGGTCGTCCCATGGTTGTCTTGCGGTTGCCCCGTGATTGTCCCATGAGGTTGTTTGGTGGTTGCCCCGTGGCAGTCACGCGCGATTGCCACGACGATGTCTTGTTAGAAGGTGTTACAGTCAAGACGCTGAAATATGGACCGCTTTGGGCTCAAACGAGGCTCGGGTTTTCTGGCCGTTCTTTTGATTTATGGCGTGGAACTTGTTCGTGGCCTCGGCACGCCTTGGCCAGGAAAGCCCCTTCGTGCTTAATCATGCGTCCATTAGGGTAGCACGCTGACTGCATAAGCATGTGCTGAGTAACATGTTGCCAGTTGGAGATCGAAATCCGTCAACGTCCAATGCTCCATATACTGCCACGAACAGCGCCAGTTAATCCTATATCAGATGAGCAATTGGAAGCACAGAACCTGTTGCACGTACGCATACACACCGGAAGGTGAATATGTCATTTGTGAGTGAAGTGGGGGGATTTGATTAATAGATCGCCCCTGCAAGCTCAAGGGTGCTATTGCATCCTGTCTACAAATTTGTCATGTCGTTCGTAGAATTCTAACGCACGGCTTGTCCTCGGAATAGACTTGCGTCCTTCCAGGTCCTCTCTGCAAGCAGTCCCCGTTTCCCCCAAACAGTGCTTACATTTAGGGGTTCTTGTTGGTCCCCCTGACGACTTGGTTATATAGGTCCTACGAGGAATTTCAACGTTGCCGCCCGTCGCCGCCTCGTTGCCGCCTCGTGAGCTGGGTGGATCTTGCGAGGTTTCGCCACGTTGCCGCCCGTTGCCGCGTCGTTGTTAACTTGTGCGCTGGGTGGGTCTAGCGAGGTTCTGGCACGTTGCCGCCCGTTGCCACCTCGTTGCCGCCTTGTGCGCTGGGTGGGTCCTGCGAGGTTTCGCCACGTTGCCGTCCGTTGCCGCCTCGTTGCCGCCTCGTGCGCTGGGTGGGCCCAGCATGCTTTCGCCACGTTGCCGCCCGTTGCCGCCTCGTTGCCGTTTTGCGTGCTGGATGGGTCAAGCGAGGTTTCGCCACTTTGCCGCCCGTTGCCGCGTCGTTGCCGCCTTGTGCGCTGGGTGTGTCTAGCGAGGTTCGGGCACGTTGCCGCCCGTTGCCGCCTCGTTGCCGCCTCGTATGTTTGGCGGGTCCGAGGAGGTTTCGTCACGTTGCCGCCCGTTACCGCATCGTTGCCGCCTCGTGCGCTGGGTGGGTCTTGCCACGTTTCGCTACGTTGCCGCCCATTGCCGCCTCGTTGCCGCCTCGTGCGCGGGGAAGGTCTGGCGAGGTTTCGCCACGTTGCGGCCCATTGTCGTTTCATTGCGCCTCGTTCGCTGGGTGGGTCCAGCGAGGTTTCGCCAACTTGCCACCCGTTGCCGCCTCGTTGCCGCCTTGTGCGCTAGGTGGGTCCTGCGAGGTTTCGGCACGTTGCCGCCCGTTGCCGCCTCGTTGCCGCCTCGTATGTTGGGCGGGTCCGGTGAGGTTTCGGCACGTTGCCGCCCGTTGCCGCGTCGTTGCCGCCCTGGGCGCTGGGTGGGTTCGGCGACGTTTCGCTACGCTGCTGCCCATTGCGGCCTCGGTGCCGCCTTGTGCGCTGGGCGGGTCCGGCCACGTTTCGCTACGTTGCGGCCCGTTGCCACCTCGTTGCCGCCTTGGGCGCTGGGTGGGTTCCGCGAGATTTCGCCACGAAGCCGCCCGTTGCCGCCTCGATGCCACCTTGTGCGTTGGGTGGGTCTTGTGGATTTTTTGCCTTGTTGCCCCTCGTTGGGCGCTGGCTTCGCAAAAGCCCAGCCGAAACTCAGTACACCGAGCCCCTTTGCTTTGTCGACAGTGCACAATACATATGGTGACGGGTGGCCCCGCAAAGGGGCAGGCTGTTTTTTTTCGTGGGGGACATGCTGCTTGCTTTGGGTGCGGGTATGACGGTGAAGTTTTTTCCCGTATTTTTTAATGTGGAGTGTCATGAAGATCCTGCGACAGTTCAGGCAGTGTTTGCGTCATTGTTCTTGATCACAGCGGTGTTCTCCGCAATCGCGCAAAAGGTTGCCAAGCGGGTCGGCCGCATGCAAGTGGTAATTCCATCTTACTTGATTGGAATCGTTTGCACGATCCTATTGGGATCCCTCAGACCGTTTTACGATTACCCAGTGGTCATGGTACCGATATTCATATTGCGGTGTTCGATCATGTGGGGCGCTGGTGGGCTGAAGGGGTCCATCATCGCAGATTACACACCGAAGTCTCAGAGAGGTCGTTGGAAGGCACTGGAATCTATATGCGCATTTGGTTGGTCAGGCAGCGCCGCTGTCGGGGGATGGCTCATCGACAAGCTCGGCTACGGGCCGACTTTCCTAATTACCGGCTGTTTCCAGGCATGTGTCATTCCCATGTGGTGCATGCTTATACCACTTGTCGCCAAGGAGTCTGAAATATTGAGCGCAGGGGCAGCTGCTGAGGCCGACGCGAGGCAGGACAATACATGCACCGATTCTGGGAGAAGCGCCCCGGCATCCCATGGTTAGTGCCAATAGCACGAATCCCCGTTCATTATTGGCAGAATGAGGTCTTGAAGTGTTGTTCACCCGCTTCGTAGGGTATGACACTGCTCAACGGTGCGAGGGCAGATGGGCGAGCAACGCGTAAAAATGCGACGTACCAATGGGGCATGCCTAGTCTACAAGGGCCATTCTGATCGTAACCCACACACCTGCGAGCCTGCGAGTTCAGATGAAAATGAACACGCGCGCGCGTCCACCACAAGCGTGCCCCAGCTCGTTTGGCCGTATTGGTGCTGCTCGCGCATGTGCGTACGTATGTGTGTATGTGTGTGTTGTGTGTATGTTGTGAGCGGGTGTGGGCGTGCGTGCGCGTGTGCCCTGCGGTCGTTGTGTGATGTCGTCGCGGTCGTCGTCGCTCCTTCTCTGAGGTTATTGCCGGTAGGGAGAGGGGCGTCGATGTCATAGCCAGGTGAGGGTTGAGAAGGGATGGGGCCTCCTCCGGAAGTCTGCGGATCCCGTTTGGGTGGCGGGTCATATTGAGCCTTGCCACGCGATAGTGGTTCTGGACTGTTCGCAGGGGCCATCTTGGGTCGTCTTCGTGACATATTGCGCCATCTTGGCGGCCTTGCTTGCTTGCCTGGGCAGTTTTAGAAGCTTGGGACGCAAATCCGTTGTTTGTTCCGAAAGGGGCGTTGTCCAGAGAGACCCTGGAGAGGGGAGCGGTGCATGCAGGAAAGGCTAGTAGAGAGAGAGGGGCGCGTTGTTACAATACAAACCCAGCGAGACAGCTCTAGGCATTTGTCAACGTGCACAAACACGATGGTGGGATTCCCGTGCTCCAGTAAGAATTTCAGCGTTCCGAACATGAATCCAGCGCTCCAGAATAATATTCTCCTATATAAAAACACGCGCTTTCCAGGAACAAATGCTTCATATCGGGAGCAGCCGTCGTGTGTCTCGAAAGGGTTTCATCCGATTTCGCCGGATCGGATTCGAACAAAGGTTTCGGTATCCACCATGATTGCTCCCGCATCAGCCGACACAACTTGATCGGACAAGAACGTGAAGCACCGCTTTAGTCCAAAGGGCTTTTTGAGCGAAGAAGAAAAAGGAGGCTAGGGCGACAAGGAGAGGATGAGGAGGACGACGTGGATAACGTGAGGATACCGAGGAATGCGGACGGCGACGGCGACGGCGGCGGTGGCGGCGACGACGACAACGACAACGACGACGACGAGGCAATTACAGGCCGAGCGCTCAGAACGTGCAGACCTTCACGCCGGCGTGGCGGCCCAAGATCTGGGCAGGAGTAATGCGAACCCACCTGACTCACCCGCACAAGCAAAATACTTCATTCTCAGTTTGTCAGGTTCCCCTGCCTGTTCGGTGCGGGCAAGTAGCGAGCGTGCCCCAGGTCGCGTTGAATCCAAAAACGCGTGCTCGGCCACACGAAATGACATGTCGGAGCTTTAATTCCCATCCGAAAGAACCGTTACTGCAGAAACCATGGTTGCGGCTATTAGTATTCATCGCCGTTTCGCCTTTGCCGTTTATTCCTCGTATGTCGATTACGAAATCGCGAAATGGTAACCAGTTTTGATTATACATACACATACACGCAGTGTCAATGCCCAAGACGGTCCCGGGATGACGTCTGCTAAAACGGTGGGGTTGGTTCGCATTGTAATTAGGCGTAATACAAATTGAACACACTTGTTCTTGGATTTTCCCTAAATGTCGGTTCCCAAGCAGATAAATGGCCCCTTGTGCGCAACATGTTAGTAGTATTATGAATGTTCTTGTGTTCGTTTAGTCATTGGCGACATGTGCATCCCGCGCGACGAAATCGGCGTGTGAGATGATACCCCTCCCAAAACCTTGTCCCGCGGGGCCCGGTCCGACCGGTTTGGAGGAGGGGGGGGCACATGTTCCAGTCGCACATGTGGAACTAAGTCCCAAAGGCAAGTGTGCTGAAAATGTACGTTCTCCATACGGACTAGCGCCCTTTTTCCGTCTTTTTGAAGGGATGGGCGGACACGCAATCTGTTTTCAACGACTTCCTATGTTATGTTCATATCTTCAGACCGAGGGGTATAGGCGTCGTGCAATTTTCACAATAGGCGTGTTCGCACGGTTTTCGGATGCGTTCCGCTGTTTGCCCAGACCATTCCGTTGGCCTATTTCGACTCAAACCAAAGATGTGTCCGCTCGGTCTGAGGCCGTCGCATATAGATCCGATTCGAAAGTGAATTTCATTTCGGAACGTTTTCGTGGAGCGCCTCGACTGTTTCAAAAATGTTGGGGATTGATGGGGTTTGGATGCAATGAACGTTCGGCGTTTGGGATTTGTGTCCGTCGATTCGTAGCTCTTTTTGGACTGTCGCAGGACCCGTTGGGGCTTCCTGGGGATGTCCACGCGGCCTACAGCAGTCCAAAACACATCCTAGATCGACCCTCTGCATCCCAAAAGGCTCCGAAAAAAAAAAAAAAAAAAAAAAAAAAAAAAAAAAAAAAAAAAAAAAAAAAAAAAAAAAAAAAAAAAAAAAAAAAAAAAAAAAAAAAAAAAAAAAAAACTCGCTCCACGACCGCTTCCAGGCGATCCACGAAGGCTGCAAAACCATAGCAACGGCCCGCGAGAGCCCCAGGACGGCCCCAAGACGGTTCCAAAATAGACCAACGTGGCCCTCACAGGCTGCCCAGATGGCCAACGCGGGGGGCGATGTGGTCCTGCTTCCAGACGGTCCCAAGGCGTGTGAAAACGCATCCGCAAGGCGCTCCGAAAGGGGGGCGAAACAATCAAGTAATCCATACACATTCAATACATTCGCCTCTAGGTCGTCCACGAGGCAACGGCCCAGTAAACCCCCAAATTCGACGCCCGACACCCCAAGATGTTGAAGGGTCCATACGCCAAGTGCGCATGGGCAAACAAGAAGCGGGCAACACGCCAAAAGCGCGCAACAGCAGACGATTATACGCCAAACGCGTTTCCAAAAGGCTTGGATGTGCTAAGTGCGCGCCATGAGCGCGAGAGCGACGGCCTAGTTTGGTATAAAAGTTGTATTAGTTGTTCTTGTCTGGGGGCGCGTCCATTACAATTCCCGACAACGGAAGTACATTGACAATTTTCTTGTTGGTCCCCCCCACGCAAGTTTGCAATTCAGCGCAACCGGCATGATATTATCGGGTTAATAGGTTCGCGCACGTAGAGCATGAGTGTAAGGGTTTTTGGCAAATCTTTCAAATTAGCTGAAGTTGTTGATGCAAGCAAAGCGGTGTGTAAGGCTGTTGGCTACTTACTCTCCGGAACAAGTGTGTTTGATATTCTAGAAGTGAAAGAATGGAGAATATTCATTATTTGTTTGAGGCGTTTCGTTTGGAAGTTGTCCAATCGTAGTTGTTCTGCTGTTTGGTTGAACCATGCCGAACTGAGGGAATACATAATTTTCATTGTGACCATCGCCTGATATTCAGAAATTCATTGCGACGTTGATTGAAGCGTGCTTTTCGTATATATGTAGAATTCCCCCTAGTTTGTTTCAATCGTTTGTTCAATTCTGCATATGTGTCCAGTATTGATAATTCAAGCCCCGAGGTATACCAAGTTGTCGTTTGCCTATATTTCTGTCTGACTCAATCAGCCATGCGCCAAAGGCGCGCGGGCAACAACAGTCAATGCATTGCTACGCCTGCCAGGGCACCGAAGGCGCAGATGACTACAGCCACCCGTCGTCGCATGGACGGTGGCCCAAGGAGAAATGCGGCACAAATTCCACCCATTTTTTTTTCTCGCAGGCGACGCGCTGCAAGAGGTCAGCTTCAGTGCGGAAGCAACTCGCGATTTTATTACGCAAATGTTTCGTCCATTCGCGTCTTGGGCGGCCATGTTTCCGATTGCGCAACAAGGACAAGTCCGGCCAAGTCGGCGGCTGGCCGAACATTTTTCCGTTGGAAAGTCAAGGCCCAAAGCGCATCGCCGTCGTTGCAACGACCAATTCTTCCAAACCATATTTGTTCATGATTGAGCGAGTGAGCGCTGCATGATGGTTGCCCTGCCTTCTCCAACACAATTGCGTTTGAAAGTGTTGGTTCGTAGGCGTGCGGGACGTTGAGAATACGCATGAGACATCGGGCTTGAAATCCATCTAACATCCTCCTCTCGTGCTTGTTCAACCACGCCGAATTGAGTAAATGCACGATTTCGCTTGTAATGGGGGCTTCAAAAATTGCAAGTCCCTTTTGCGATGCTCATCGACGCGCGTTTCCAAGCCCTCGCGCGCTTTTGGAATCCCCCCCGGGCCGCCCCCAACTTTCTGCTGAGTTATTGCTTACGTGTGTCAGTTGCGTATACACTTGCGCCAAAAGATCGCACGTGCCCTCGCGGCTCACTTGTGTTCCCGGCCGGGTTTCGCAGCCGAACATTGCATCCATGTTATAATAAGTGAAATTTGTTCCAACGCAAGTCCATCCAAGTTTCTGCGCCAGCTGCTGCAATCGCATCCAACAATTGTTGCACGTCCTCTTCGTTGCGACCCACTAGCAGAGTGTCGTCTGCGTAGAGAAGAGTAGAATAATCGCCAAGTGCAAGAGATTCAGACGCCTGCTCGTCCAACTCCTCTTGGGCGTCGCTGGCGAAAGCGCGCCAGTGGATGGCCCCGAATACACACAAGGGGGGGCGTGCTCGCAGAACCCCCCCCCCTTCAAAGGGGCGGCGAGATTTTCGACCCCCCCCTTCCCCCCTTGGCGCTGGAAAGTAGGGGGAGGTTCGGCCCCCCCTTTGCGCCGAACAGGGGGCTGGGGAGGGGGCCTCTCGGGTAGCGAGTAGAGAGTAGAATGTTTCGAGCAGCGATTGGTGAGGAGTGGGTATTTGATAGTGGGTAGCGCGCAGTGGGTCGTAAGAGGTGAGTAGTGAGTAGTGTGTAATGGGTAGTGGTAGTAGTGAAAAGCGCGTAGAGATTAGTGAGTAGTGAGTCGTGAGTAGTGGTAGTGAATAGTGGGAAGTAGTGAGAAAGGAATTGTGATCAGTGGGTAGTGAGGAGTGAGTAGTGTGTAGCGAGTAGTGCATAGTGAGTAGTAAGCAAGGAGTAGGGATGAGGGAGTAGACAGTAGCGAATAGCGAGGAGTGAGTAGTGAGTAGTGAGTTGTGCGCAGTAAGTAGAGACTCGTGAGTAGTGATTGGTGGGTAGCGAGTAGTAAGTAGTGAGTATTGAGTAGCGAGTAGTGAGTAGTGAGTAG